TTTGCGTTTTCGCCTTTATCGAAGAAAAACTATAAAATATGGCGTATTTTCTCTTTGCTGGTGTCCATCTTTGACGCGCGCTCAAACAATACTGAGTCAAACAATCACAAAACGGTCGGAGAAGATTTTTTTAGTACGAAATCTTATCTTTCTAACGCCATCTAGCGTAAACCAATCGCACTTATACAACGCGAGATACACATTACTAAAGCCATCTATTGGAAAAATAATGGATTTCTTTTTACTACACCTTATATATATATATATATATATATATATATATATATATATATATATATAAAATCATCTCTACATATTCTTTCTTCCAACCTCCATACCTTATTCAATGCTCTACCTTTCTTATAAAGATCATGTGCCTTATAATTACCTACTTTACTAAAAATAAATCCTACTTTACTAAAATAAATCCTAAATACTTGAACTCCTGCACTTCTTCAATAACTTTATTCTTCCATTTCCATTTTTCTTTCCTTTCCTTCAAAAATTTCTTTTAAGTATCCATTATATCTAACATCGCCACTCTATTCTTTGCCAGAAGCACTACATTATCCGCATACGCAATATTCCATATTCTATCCTTCCCTAATTCTATTCCACCTATTCCTCTCTTCTCCATATCCTTATCTAAATCCGCTATACATATACTAAATAATATAGGGCTGAACGCGCATCCTTGCCTTACTCCTTTTGTATCCAAAAGCTGTCCGTGTTTCCATCCTTTGTCCTTACTTTTACCCCTGTCTCCTCGTATATCCTCTTCAATCTTTCTATTATCCTTTGATTTAACCTTTTTCCTTCCATTATTTTCCATAAAGTTTCTCTGTTAACATTGTCGAAGGCCGCTTTAACATCCACAAACAGGGCATATAACCTCTCCTTTCCTCTTCCTTCTCCCTTCCTTTGCACCAAATGATTTAGGACAAAAATATTATCTATTGTCGATCTAAAATATTATCATTGTCGATCTTTCCCAAAACCTGCTTGACTCTCCGGGAGTATCCCTTTCTCCTCTATCTTCTCTAACCTTTTTCTTAATATCTCCGCATATATCTTGTACGCTGAACTCAGCAATAAGATTCCTCTGTAATTCTTCGCCTCTTTTTTATCTCCTTTCCCTATAATGGTACCATTATGCTGATTCTCCAATCCTTTGGTATGTCACCTTCCTTCCATACCTGTCCTAGCAAACCATCTAGACTTTTTCTTACTCCTTCACCTGCATACATCCATGCCTCCATAGGTATGCCATCCTTCCCACATGCTTTTTTCTTCTTCATCTTCTTCACTACTTCCCATATTTCCACTTCCTCTAATTTATCCTCTTCTTGATCAACTTGCATTTCTCTCCTCTTTATCCCCTTTCCATATTTGTCTATGTAAAGAAATATAAAAATTTATATAAAATTTATATAAAATTTTTAATACTTCAAGAAAATGCAGTACTAAAAAGATTATTAATTAGTTAGAAATTTCTGAAAAAATTCTCAGAGCTCTATGAGAAGAAAATAGATAATTTTTATCTCTTGTTATTTTTCGGTAAAGTTGGTAGAATTCGAGTAAAAAATTATTTAAACCAATAATTTTGTAGATATTTCCCTAAATATTTTTGAAAATAGAGGTCGTATAAAAAATTCTTTGCAAACAAAAGTTGTTAGTTTCTTTACGTAAAATAAAATTTCGTAATAAAAAAATATATGTTTCTAATTAAAAAGGCAAAGTTGACCTCGATCTGACCTTGGCGGCGCCACCCAAAGTCAAACTGATAATATCAGTAAATACATCTTTTTAGACTCTACAACTTTTGTATTAAGCATTTTTTTTTGAAAATGCGTATTTTTCAAAATATTTAGGGATTGCAAGACTTTTGGGATTGTTGGGATACACTGTATATCTGTGTGTGTATGTATATATACACACACATATATAAGGTGTAGTAAAAAGAAATCCATTATTTTTCCAATAGATGGCTTTAGTAATGTGTATCTCGCGTTGTATAAATGCGATCGGTTTACGCTAGATGGCGTTAGAAAGATAAGATTTCGTACTAAAAAAACTTCTCAGACAGTTTTGTGATTGTTTGACTCAGTATCGTTTGAGCGTGCGTCAAAGATGGACACCAGCAAAGAGAAAATACGCCATATTTTACAGTTTTTCTTCGATAAAGGCGAAAACGCAAGCCAGGCGGCTGAAAATGTGAATAGTGTTTATGGTCCTGATACTGTAACAGCCAATCACGCGCAATTTTGATTTCGTCGATTCC